CCGGGCAGGAGCCCGCCCGCCCTCGGGGAGCCGCGCTCACCTCCAGCCGCAGTCGGGCCAGGCGCAGCTGTAGGGTTTCTCCCCCGTGTGCCGTCGGAAATGAGCYTTGAGGTGGGAGCTCTTGGAATAAACCTTCCCGCAGCCGGGGTGGGCGCAGCGGTGGGCGCGGAGCAGCGAAGGGGAGCCCTGCTGGAGCCTGGGGATCGCCTCCCCCTCGCTCCCGTCCCCCGCGGCCGCGGGCAGAGGGGCGATTTTGATGTATTTTTGGTCCGGGAGGGTGGCGGGGGGCTGGAGGTGCGGGAGGAGGGGGAGGTTGGGGGTCTGCAGGCTGAGGAGGAGCTGGGCCACCCTGAGCCCCCCGCATTGCGCTGGAGGGGCCGCGCTGTCCATCGGGAGAGGATGGAGCTGCAGGACAACGGGAACGCTGGCGGCAGGCACGGGCTGGGCTGTCCCTGCGGCCTTGGGGACATCATCCCCTCCTCCTCCTCCTCCTCCTCCTCTGCCCTCCACCTTCCACCCCGCAGGGTGAGGATCGCCGGCTCCATCCCGGGGCAGCTCTGCCTTCTCCCGCAGGAACTCCTCGATCTCCTCCAGGGTGGGGATGAAGTCCTGCGAGAGGCAGAATTCTGGCAGGCGGAGCTGAGCCTCGGCGCTTTGGGGTTTGGGGGGCTCCCCGTTGGCACCGGGCAGCGCGATGCCCTCGGTGTGGCCGGTGCCACCCGCCAGGAKGTGGCCGGAGCTTTCTGGGTGGCCGAGTGTTCTGTCACCGCCATGGCCGGGCAGAAGGGACGGTGKCATCCTGCACTGCAGGGCGCTGGCCAAGCTCTCGAGCAGGGAAGGGCCGGTCAAGGCGGGCAGCAGGTCCTGGCAGCTCACAGAGACCATTTGTGGCCTCCCCGCACGCGGTTCTTGGCTCGGGAGGGCTCAGCCGGGGAATTCTGCGTTCATCTGCAAGGGAACGGCRCCGGGGTTATTTCCAAAGGAGAAAACAAACACGGAGAGCTCAACCTTTCAACAGCGCGGGCTGTGCTCTGGAAAGAAAACAGCACAACCTGGCAGCGGCCTTTGTTTTTAGAGTCTGCTGCTGGGAAAACACAAACGCTGACCGTTCTCCTCCTCTGGCTGCCAGCGGAGAGGCAGATTCCCCCAAAAGCCAACGAATCCGGGGAGTTTTTGGAGGTAAAACCACACAAAGGAGCCGTTCATCGCTCCCTCGCCCCGCCACCCACGCCGGAGGGCAGCTCGGCGCTGCCGGGGGGTGCTGGGGATGGCTCGGGGGGTTCATTGTGACCCAGACGGGGCGCTGGGAGAGAGTTTTCTCCCAGCCCGGGTCAYCCGACGGCTCCGGGGAGCTGCTGCCAGCCCGGCCCGCCCGGAGCTCCGGGGAGCGCTCACCCCGTGCCGGGGGCGCGGCGCTGCCCGAACGCGCTGGGTTCTGTCCGGGCAGGTCTGTCCTGGCTCGGCCGCACCGCGGAGAGCAGCGCAGYCAGCCTGGGGTCAGCCCTGGGGCCGCTGGGGACACGAACGGCGCATTGGAAAAGTGCTGAGAGAGAGCACAGTGTGGCCAGGGGAGAGCTGTGCGCCCCAGGAGGTGACAGTGACAATGACAGACCCCTCGAGCCCTGGGGACATGATGGCACGTTGGCAAAGCACTGAGAGAGAGCTCAACGTGTCCAGGGGAGAGCTGTGCACCCTAGGAGGTGACAGGGACTGTCACAGACCCCTCAAAACCTCCTGGGGCTCAGGGAGTGGAAGGGAGGTGCCCAAGCAGCCACAGAGCAGCCACAAACTGTCCCTGTCCCCGTCCCTATCCCTGTTCCCATCCCTGTCCCATCCCTGTCCCTCTCCCCTTCCTGAGTCCTGCTCTGGAGCACCAAACCCCCCAAGGTGCAGGGATTTGTTTGTGTTTAATGCAGAAATGGAGTTTTCAGGGGAGGGAAAAGCTTTGTCCAAGCCCCTTTGTGAACCTTTTCCATGGGATTTCTGAGGAGCTGCAAACCAGTCGGGCCAGTCCTKGTTATCAGCGCTCCTCAGGGTCCTGACAGCTGCCAGAGGGGATTTTTGAGCGCTCTGGATGCGATATTAATGTTCCTCTCCTTAAGGAATCGATCAGAGCTGGCCCTGCAGGATGCAGGGGCATTCCCAGTGCTGCCCAGTGCCTCCAGCACAGCCCAGCATGGGGTCACAGCGAGCAGGGCCTGGCACTGGTCACTGCGAGGTGARGGAGCTGTTCAGGCCAATCTCAGCMTTTGGGCTTCAAATTTTCATCAMAACCCAAATTTCTGCTCTGACCCACCCCTTGCAGGCAGTTCCACTCCTTCCTCCAACACCAGTTTTAGGATCTTTCCTGCCTCTTCTCTGTCTCCTCTTTCTGCAGGGAAAGCCTTCCCCCTCTGGCTACCAAATGTTCCTGTTTACCTCTCCCACCGTGCCCTAAAACCTGATTTTCCATCCAGATCCTGCAGAGCAGCTYGGGGAATGTCCATCCCTCCAGCGTGTCCCCAGGACAGCTGAATTCAACCCCAAACTCCTGATGGAGCACAAAMCTTCTGAGCCAGGAGGAATAAATAACCCTTCTGATAGCAGGAATAAAGGGATGAACAGAGGGCAGGAGGGTCCAGGCTGAGCTGCTGAGCAGGGCAAAAGGGATCTGAGCAGGGCAGCCTTGGGGGAGCTCCTGGAGCTCCTGTTCCTCAGTTTCCCACTGATTTAGGGCGCTGGTGATGCCCCAGAGTTGTGCTGTGGGGCACATTCTGTGCCAGCAGACTCAGCAGGTTACAGATGTCACCACCCCGTCAATCCAACTGCAAAAATGCCACTGGCGCTGTCACCCCAAAGCCACCGCAAGCAAACGGAGCCCTGATCTGTCCCTCCCCGCCAGGGCAACGCCGTTCCCAGACCTCACTTTGCATTTTGTGCTCCTTCGGTTTTTCCGAGCCCCGAGAGCGTTGTAGAAATCGTCACATGTGCAGCCCGAGCACATGGAGAGCGCGGTTTGCCCAAGGTCAGCCAGAGCTCAGCCGAGGGTCACGGCTCCCCTCCGGTGACCGAGCAACGGGAACAAACAACCGGAGCCTCCCCAGGGCCGGGAATCGCTCACGGGGGCCGTGCAGCAGCGGGGCTCGCTGAACCTTTGGGGATAAATCACACAGTGCCAGTGCCACGCGTGGATCCTCAGCCCAAAGCCGTGCCCAAGGACAAGCCAGGCTTTGGCTCCGCTGCAGCCCCGGGGACACCGAGTCCGGTCCGGGGACACCGAGCCCGGTCCGGGGACACCGAGCCCGGTCCTGTCGGTCCCGCAGCCCCCCCGTTCCCGTGCCCGGCTCCGGGAGCGCTGCCAGCGGGACCCCCGCTCCCCTTTCCCCGTGCCCCTTACCCGGCTCCGCTCCCCGCGGCTCCCGCGGCTCCGCCGGGGGCGGCTCCCGGCTCTGCCCGCCCCATTGGCACGGGAGGGGCACCGGGATGTCCCGGCTCGGTCCCGGAGCAGCTCCCGGAGGAGATCCCGCCACCCCGCCGCTGTTTCTTCTCTCGCCGTTCATTTACGCTGGAAGCGCTCCAGGTTTTTCCAGCGTTTCAGGAAAAAGGAGTCGAGAGCTGTTGGAATCCGGGAGGATCCGGGTGTTCGGGAGGAAGGTTTGGGGCAGGGCTGAGGAGTTCGGATTCTGCTGCCGGGACAAGGGTGAGGCGTGTCCTTGTCGCGGCTTTGCGGGTCCCCTGAGGGTGGCTTTGGGCTGAGCCCCACCAAACCACACCGAGTTTTTCTGTTCGTGAGATTTTGGGCCAGGGTAAGGTTTCAAATCCATAAAAAAGGAAACAAAACGGAAAAAAGAACCCTCTCCAACACCGAAGATGCACAGAAAGGGTGACCCGCGGCTGTTCCGTGTGCGCTGCTGTGACTCTGGGTGTCACTGACCCCCTATCGCAGCCTCTCAGCTTTTAACATCACTGATAAACCACACATAAAACATCCATCCTTTAAATAAATATTGATAATAATTAATAACACTTATTTATTTCCTGGCAGGGGTTGGGAAGGTCTCAGCTTCTCAAAATCCTCAGGTACTCCTCGGGATGGTTCAGTCACGGAAGGCTTTGATTTTGTCCCAAAATTTCTGGGGGTGACAGGGGGGAGTGGCTCCTGCTCTGGGGCTGTTCTGCGGGATTGGAGCTTTTTGGGGGAAAAGGGGGCGGTTCCGTGGGGGAAAAGCTCGTCCCTTGTCCCGCTGGCACCGCTGGCACGGGTGGCACCGGTGGCACATGGGGACCGGCAGCAGAGCCCTCCTGGCCCCGCCCATTGCCCCGCCCATTGCCCCACCCTCGAGACACTAACCCCGCCCCTTTTTCACTGGCCACGCCCAATTCCCCTGTCCAAATGACTCCTCCCCTCAATTTATCGTGACAATAGTGACATTCAGRCCACGCCCCTCTGCTTTGACCACGCCCACCCCACCCCTCAACCATTGGCCACACCCACCCACGCTCGTCATTCCTTGGCCACGCCCCCCACTTTGACCACGCCCCTCCCCGCGCGCCGGTGGCGCCCCCTCGCGGCCGTCTCAGCGCATTGGGCATTTTTCCCTTTTTCAACACCTTTTATTCCACCCCCCCCGCCCTTTTCCATAAAAATTTATAATAAAAGCCTTTCCTCTCGCGTCGTATACAAAATATTCACTCTTCCGAATAAATAAAACCGCGAATCGCCGGCAGGATGTGACCTCAGAAGGAAAACCAGCATCCATCCATCCATCCTTCCCTTCCCGAGGGATCCACACAGCCTCGGTTAAACTCTCCCTTTTCCACGCTCACAACTCCCAGCTCGCCGAAAGTGGGGCAGGATTGACCCGTGAGGAGAGCACGGTGCACGCAGCACCTCGTACCTGGAAGGGAAAAGCTCCTGCTCAGCAGATCTGAGGAGMTCCGACCCAAACCTGGGGTCAGGTGGGACCAAATCCTGCAGAAATTCTGTTTTCACATCAAGAATATCGTTAACAGCAGGTAAGGGATGCTTTTATCTGGACTAAAACATCCCTTGCTGGTCCAAAATGTGATCCCAACAGAGAAACTGTTCTACAAGAAGCCAAAATCCCAATTTTATAAAGATTTCCTCGTCCTCCTGCTCTCTCTCTGATCTCCCGTTACAAACCCCAGCTCTGTGCCCTTCTCACCCATCGCTTGGGGCGGTTTGCAACGAAGAATTTAAGGCCTTTGCCACCCAAGCCCTTCAGCTGAAGCTCAGTGTGGAAGYACTTGAGGCACTGAAATTATCAAAAGCATCAGAGCAGCCTCTGTGCMGGGAACATCCCCCACATTTACATGAGAAATATTCAAAATATTAAAAATAAAGGGGTTTATCCTTTTATGAAAACCCAAATTTTCAGCCTTGGGTCACCCTAAGGACACCCCACCTCTGGCAATAARATTTTGCTTCAAATCCTTCCCGCTGCAGCCTGGACAGAGCCCAGGGGAGGAAGTCCAGACCCCAAAAATGTTTCTGGAAGTGGTTAAAGCGCTGCCAAATCGGTCCCCGAAGCAGCTGCGTTTCAGCACGCAGCYCTTGCTGTGGGAAAGGGAGGCTGGCAGGCCCATAATTTGAGAAGAACTAAAACAAAAACAGTGACCCCTGACGGGAAAGGGACAATTCCAGGGCTGAGCAGCTCTTTGAGGGCCCGGCTCAGACAGCAGGGGAGTCACCCWGCCTCCCTGCCAAGGAACAGGCTGACAAAATCTGCCAAAATAGCAACGTTCTGCCCTCCAGCCCAACCTCACAAGTRCGTCTGGCTGCCCACACACCTCCACAAAAAAAAAATTCCTCACAAACAGCTCGTTTAGGCTGGGCACAGTGGGGAACTGCTGGGGTTTGTGTGAGTGCTCRCAGCATTAATCCAGTTTTTTCTYCACGCATTTTGGGGCATTTCTGACYGGSCCCAGCACCTCAGWTCCTCCTCGGTGTGGGGGTAGCYCTTGGAGAGGYTGGAATGTGCCAGCAGAGGATTTGTCCCAAATGGGACACTCGGACAGGGGATGGGATTGACCAAAGGGATTCACACCCTGCTGGCAGAGCTGGAAGCCAAAACAACCTGGACGTCCCAGGAGGGCTTGGTCCTGGTTTTACAGCAGCAAAATTATTGGTCTCACTTTAACAGGAGTTTTCTCTGCCTCAGTGAGAATCTGRGCTCCTGGCTGGAAATAAAATKAATTTTAAGGAAGCCCYAACAGCCASAGRCAGGGACCAGCTCCRGGTCTGGGTTTAACTCATCAGCAGYSACTTCCCCAGGCCTTCCAGGAGAGCTCCTCCTGCTCTCAGCACTAAAAACCCCTCTGAAAACCCCAAAAAATTCCCTTTTAGGGGCCAGGGAAAGGCACAACAGCCTGGATCTGAGAGATCAGGGCAGGCACTGAGGTGAGGAGTGAGAGGTCAGAGTTATTGAGAGCTGTGGGAAGAGAGCAAAAACAATCATTAAAATAAAAAAATAAAAGCTCAGAAGTGCTCTCTATCTGATGCAAGCTGCTATGTAGGTAAAGGTTAAGTCACYTTTTGGAACGGGGCCTAATGGGATGCTCCTTGCTTTTTCCAAAACAAGGCACAGTGGCTTTTCTCYGGGTGGGGAAGGAGGGAAGGACAAAAGGACAGAAGGACAGAAGTGTGAGCACAATCCTGGGCACCCCCTCGGCCCCACAGCCCAACTTTTTCCTGGGTTTTTTTTTTCCCCAGGAAATCCTTTCCCAGTGCTCCATTTGCTGAAATATTGCTCAAGGATTGGGTAAAACCACCATGAGCAGGGGCAGAGGGCCCAGCTGGAGGTGGAGGAGAGGAGAGCTGGTGATTTACCCCATCCCTGCTCGGGAACACGACCCGTTATTGGAGGAAAACTCCAATTCCCTTTTTCCCCCTTAAGGGAAACTCCAATTCCCTTTTTCCCCGTCAAGGGAAACTCCAATTCCCTTTTTCCCCCTCAAAGGGAAACTCCAATTCCCTTTTTCCCCCTCAAAGGGAAACTCCAATTCCCTTTTTCCCCCATTTTCCCTCTGCTCAAGGCACCTTTGGAAAGCCCTTCTGGCCCAGAGCACAGCGCCCCAAAGCCTCTTATTTACACCTGAGATTAACCCCGTGCTGTCCCCAGCCCYGGGGTGACAGCAGCGGTTTGGGGACAGCCAGTGCCACGCCAGGCTACTCCAAGTGACCCTCTGGGCACAAACTCAGCTCCTGCTGCCACCCAGGTGTCTTCCCTGTTGTCACACAGAGTATTTGGCCATGTCCCCCTTGTCAAACACCACTTTGGTGGCGAAGTAGATGGCSACCAGCCCGAAGCCAGCAGCAGACACCATGTAGGCGGTGACAGACTGGGTGAACTGCACGATGGAGCCCATGAAGAGCGAGGGCACCACTTGGGACAGGAGGAAAGCACTGTCCAGGATGGCCAGGTCCAGGCAGATCCCTCGGCCTGGCTCTGGTTCTCCCACCACCATCCGCAGGGAAACGTCGCAGGAGGAGCTGACGCACAGAGCCGAGCTGGACACGGCCACAGGGGATGAAGAGGAGGAGGAGGAGGAAGGGGGGAAAAGGCTCCCAGCATGGCCATTTTGGTAAGGCAGTTTCTGGCTGGGSAGCAACCCTTTGGAGAAGGATTTCTTGTCCAGGAGAGCGGCGTCTTCCTCTTCTTTCCTCTTGAATTTATGGAGGAACACCTGTGGGAAAGAGGGAGCGGCGTGAGGAAGGAGCTGGGGCTCTCAGGGGTGCAGGGTGCCTTGTTTTTGTGCAGGAGAGCAAAACCAGAGCGCTGTGTGTGTTCAGGGGAGTGCCAGCTCAGCCTGGCACACGTGAGAAGGGCTGTGGCACAGACCTGGAGCAGCCCTGAGTCACKGGGGAACCCGGCCAAGCAGAGCCTYGCTGGTGCTGGAGCAGCTCAAAACCAGCATGGGGACATTTCCTGCTGAGCCTTGCGGTGGCAGCTCCTCGCTGGGCTGAGCCCACCCTGGAACCAGCAGAGCAGGGCAGGAGTGAGGAACCAGAGCACATTTTGGGATGTTGATGGAAAGGTTTGTGGGGTGGGTGCCTGGGAACCCAAACCCTGCCTGCACCAAGGGCAGAGMAGCAGCTCAGGGATGAGCGGCGTCTCCCATCTGGGATGCTCAGAAGTGGCACCAGCGGGGACAGAGCAGCGCTGGGAGATCAGGGAGGGCTCTGTTCTCAGCTCTGCACAAACCTGAGCCCAGCAGCTCCATCTGCCTGCCCAGACCCTGCTCACTGCACCAGAAAAAGGGGCACAGGGAATCAAAATCATTCCCTTTTCACTGAGGGAACCAAAATCATTCCCTTCTTGAGAGAACCAAAATCTTACCCTTCTCAAGAGAACCAAAATCATTCCCTTCTCAAGAGAACCAAAATCATTCCCTTCTAGAGAGAACCAAAATCATTCCCTTCTAGAGAGAACCAAAATCATTCCCTTCTAGAGAGAACCAAAGTATTTCCCTTCTTCAGAGAACCAAAATCTTTCCCTTCTCACTGAGAGAACCAGAATATTTCCCTTCTCACTGAGGGAACCAAAATCTTTCCTTTCTCACTGAGGGAACCAAAATCTTTCCCTTTTCACTGAGGGAACCAAAATCTTTTCCTTCTCACTGAGGGAACCAAAATCTTTCCCTTCTCGAGAGAACCAAAGTCCTTCCCTTCTTGAGAGAACCAAAATCTTGCCCTTCTCGAGAGAACTAAAATCATTCCCTTCTCGAGAGAACCAAAATCTTTCCCTTTTCACTGAGGGGACCAAAACCTTTCCCTTCTCACCGAGGGAACCAAAATCTTTCCCTTCTCACTGAGAGAACCAAAATCTTTCCCTTCTTGAGTGAACCAAAATCTTTTCCTTCTCACTGAGAGAACCAAAATATTCCCCTTCTCACTGAGGGAACCAAAATCTTTCCTTTCTCACTGAGGGAACCAAAATCTTTCCCTTCTCACCGAGGGAACCACAATCTTTCTCTTTTCACTGAGAGAACCAAACTCATTCCCTTCTAGAGAGAACCAAAGTATTTCCCTTCTCATTGAGAGAACCAAAATCTTTCCCTTTTCACTGAGGGAACCAAAATGTTTCCCTTCTCACCCTTTTTGCCTTGCTCTCCTCGAGCTGTGAGGTCTCTGGAGTATTCCCAGAGCATTTGTTGACAC